TATGTAACCTATTAAATAGTTATATCTTACTGTATTTTTTTCTTGAAATTCTGTATTATTTGTACCCTCTTACTGCTATGTTTTTTTTATTTCCTTTCTTTTTTCTCTTTAATAAAAAAAAAATTTATACCCCTACATTAAACTAGATTTTTTAAAAATCTGATGCAAACATCAGTACTCTTTTCTGCAACTCATTCTGGTGTTCCTCATCAGTTCTCCCCCAGCTGGATTTTTCTAGAGCTCTTTCAATTGTTTGGAAGTCTCCAGAAGCATAGTTAGATGCTATCCATGCGAACTGTGTCCTATGACACCCCCAATAACAAAGACTAACTGTATACGATGTTTTACACATCAAATGCCTTTTTAATAGCTTCAAATATTTGGTCCCTTAGGATTACTAATGTTCCAATAATGCCTTAAACACATTGTAACGATGCTGAAACCACATGAAAAGAGTATGACTCTATTAATCCAGGGCGGAAGATGTGCTCTTCCATTGAGGGAAGGAAGCCGCAGCACTGAAAAGTACACATGCTCTGCTCGCTTCTGGGATACCATGGAATACTAGTCATTCATAATTCGCACATCGCCTGGCTCCACATGGGGTCCCTTGACCTCTCCCTACTTTTTCCTGTGTCAGTATTAGAATGGCTAGGACCAACAAGGTTTGGGCTAAAGTGAAATTCTCCTGTTTTACTGCATTCTGGAAGCCCAACTGTACCATGCATTTATTTGGTGTGCATGTTATAATCAAGTCCATGTGTGAATGTTTATGTTTTAAAGATGTTGTACTTCAATATGTTCCCAGTTAGGGCTGCTGAGAAAACTGTATAGATTCAACATAAAGCGAACTGAAGGGCTAATCTTACCATTGTTACATTTTAATTAGTGAGACCTGTCATTACAACTTTTTATGGTGGAAAGTATCAGGCCTTTTATCTTACTTTTAAGCCCTATTCTGAAAAGAGCAGACAAGGAATCGAAGAGACAAAGGAGATTGCATTTTATGGAACAATAAGGGGAGTCTTTAAAAATCCAGGGAAGTTCACAAACTGCCAATGAAAAGTAGTTGGAGACAGCTCCTCTAAGAAGGAAGCCAGTTTACAGTGTTACCACTCACCTGCTTCCTAATCCTCTCCAGGATGTGAGAGACAAGATTTCCCAGCCACAGCCTCTAAAGGTGGCCTTTCAATTGCATCTCTTAATGTGAAAGAATCAGAGATGAGTTCCAAAGCTATTAGAAAAGTCCTGGTTTGTCATACTCAAGTTCCCTTTAACAGTGGTTTAGCATTAACTCACAAACATTTATTGCAACTTATCTCAAATTTATTGTATTTCATTATTTGTTTAATTAAAGTTGTTTTCATATCTTGAGTAGAAATTCTGACACTGGAAAAGTTAAAAATCAGTCCTGAAAAAGGAATATGAAATTGGAAGATTTACAGAATTAGCCTTAATGAGGCTGGGGATTTAGCTCAGTGGCGTAAGAGCCTGCCTGGCAAGCTCAAGGTCGTGAGTTCAATCCCTGGTACAAAAAAAAAAAAAAAAAAGAATTAGCCTTAAATTAAGAACCACACCACTAAACCCTTAGAGGTTGAGTCACATTTATTAGATGAGCTGGGTTTAGCAGACTTAAAATTCAAGTGAGTAATGCACTCAAAAAATTCTCAGGAAATAGTAAAAGCCAGAAGCCACAAACTAAAATAGGGCCTTCTTTCTGATTCTGTACAATTCTGTCCTGCAAACACTATTTATGTAAACATTATCATATCCTGTCCTTAAGATAGAAGAGGTTTGATAGGAATTTACGTGCTGTTTGAGGAAATGTGCCTGTTTTGAGAACACAGGAGACAAAAATACAAACACAAGGCAGAAAATACAGTTTTGGTTTGGGGGAGTGAAACAGGATTGCCTAGTACTAAAACAAAAATACAAAAACTAAGTCATGGGTAACAGGTTTTATTTCTAGAATGAAAAATAACTGATTACTGCTAAAATACTTCCCTTTCACTCCATTATTATCTAATTTTGGGTAGGCTCAGTTAGTTTACGTCCTATTTGACTTGGAAATCAAAGCTTTTAGCTGAGATAAGAGGGAGTTTTACAAAGCAAAAGAGTAAAAGGAACAGGGGGTGGTAGTGGGCGTGGGTGTAGCTCTGTAAAGGGATGATGCTGATTTACAAAGCTTCAGCTTTTTTCTTCTGCTTTTCTTGTGCTGGGGATGGAAGCACGGGCCTAATGCGCCCTAAGCAAGAGCTCTACCATGGAGCTCCACTCCCAGCTCACCAAGTCAGTGGTTTACAAATAGTAACACACATGCCAATTTGCTCCTTTTCCTACCTGCAATTGAAAACTAGGGCAGAAACCCAGTTCTATTCAGGTGTGTGGGTATGCACCTATAATCACAGCTACTCATGGGAGGCTGAGGCAAGAGGATCACAAGTTCCAGACCAGACTGCAATTAAGTGAGAGTCTGTCTCAAAAAGAAGATGGAGGAGGAGGAGGAGGGGGAGAGGAAGAGGAAGAGAGGAATAAGAAGAGGCTAGAGATGTAGCTTAGTGATACAGCACTTCCCTATATGAATAAGGCCTAGAATTCAATCTTCATTACAAAAAATTAAGAAGTTCCAGGTACACTATTATTTTATTTTCTGGTGCTAAGTAATTGAGACCAGGGCCTCATGCATTCTTGGTACCACTGAGTTACATTCCTAGGTCCTGAACCGTGACTTCAGAGTTCTCCTCTACCCCACCTAAAGCTCCAAGATTAGGAAAGAGGGTCATACAGAAGCAGAGGACTGAGCTCACTCTTTTTTCCTTGTCTCTCTCATTCCCCCATTACTGGGCTTATTTTGTCTGGGCAGCTAGGGAAAGAGCCAGCCATGTGTGTATCTTTGGCCTCTGTATTTGGGTCAGCAAATGCTTCATTATATTACTATCATCTGACTACATTGTGAGCTAAATTTAAAACACAGAAGAATAAAACAAACTTTCCATGAAGCTAATCCAGGAATCCTATCACTGATTCTATGGAGAAATAAATGGTGAGTTTAAAATATGCTCAAATGAATAAAGGCAATTTTAAAACACAGCTTGTTATTAGTTGGAACTGCCTGTATTAGAAAAGACTCAGCAGAAAGCACCCTGTTGCTTAGAAAATGCACAGAAACGAAGGCAGGATCTTGATTTGCGACATTCAAACAGGTATTTTCTTTAATATAATGGAAAAACAGTCCTTTAGCACCCAGAATGCTAAAAGTTAACTGTCAAATTGCCTTTTCCTTCCAAATACCACTGCTATAATGTCTGTCTAATAGACGTACAAGAAAGGACAAAGAATTATTGTTACTCATTATAGAAAAAGCTAGAGCAGTATTTTCCGATTCAGAAAGTGCTAAAATAAATTCTTAAGACAGCGCAGTATTTATAATGTTACCATTTTTAAGATGTCATGATCATTGACACAGAAAACTGCAGAAACCTGGAGGAGGACTTTTGGCATAATGAAAGGGAAATTATTTAAAATACAAAGAGGATCAGGTTTTGCATGTAAGGTAAATGTTAAATCACACAAACACATGCTGAGGAACTACCTCCTGCTTGGAGATACCAATTTGTCCCCAGGTCTACATCTATGTATCGCTGAGTGGTTGGCACATCACATGGGCAAAATTAAGAGAACAGAAACAACTGTCATGACTAGAAAAAACACTGTCGTAGACACGGTCATTTTGGAGTTTGTTAATGAAGCAGACCAGTTTGATATACTGAGTCTTAAAATATCACTGATGAGGGGGCTGGGGATTTAGCTCAGTGGCATAAGCACCTGCCTTGCAAGTGTGTGGTTGTGAGTTCCATCCCTGGTACTGATAAAAATGAAAAAGACAAAAAATATATATATATATACCACTGGTGAGCAAGTCAATAAACAGTTCATAAAGAGCTTCATGAGATTTTTTTCCTGGGGTTAGAAAACAGGCCCTTGATACTGAGCTACATTTCCAGACCTTTGTTACTTTTTCTTTTATTTTGAGACAGAATCTTTTTTTTTTTTTTTTTTTTTTTTTTTTTTTTTTTTTTATCAGTACCGGGGAACGCACGACAGCCTGCTTACAAAGCAGGTGCTTATGCCGCTGAGACAGAATCTTACGAATTTGCAAATTTGTCAAGGCTAAGCTGGAACTATCTTTCTTTTTTTCTTTCTTTTTTTTTTTGTCTTTTTCCTTTTTATTGGTACCAGGTATCGAACTCAAGACTGCCTGCTTGCAGAGCAGGCGCTTACGCTGCTGAGCTAAATCCCCAGCCCCCTAAGCTGGAACTTTCAGTTCTCCTGTGTCAGCCTCCCAGTGTGCAGGGCAGACAGTCCCGTATCGTCATAGCTGAATTCATGAGTTTTGAGGTTATTTAAAAGCAAATAAAACAAACAAACAAACAAACAAAAAAAACAATGGGGATGATATTGGATTTCAAAAACAAGACAGTAGGAAATCAATACTTACTGTAATGCACTTTGTTATCCTCTAAATAAAAGCTCAGAACATCAGACACAGGCATGCAAAGTACTAAGTTGTCTTTTTATTTCAGTTGCTATCATTTCAGAAATTTCAGGTGTGTGACTTCTAATTTCTTTTGTGTCTGTGTCTTCTGGACTTGTTCTGCATGTGCTAGATGGCTGAGATTGTACCCTGCTTCTTTGTCCTCTCATCCCTGAGGTTCCCAGGGTGTGAGAAAGATGCAGGACAGGGCAAATGTTCATTGATGTTGCCCTGATGGCAGAGGGGTGGAAGGCATGGCTTCCTCTCCTCCAGTTGGAGGCAGCTGGTTTACATGGGGGTGTGGCCTTCTCTCCTCTAGGTCCTAGCTGTGGGCTCACTGAGGAGGGCAGAGGGCTGAGGGAAGAGTAGAGAGGAGGAAGGGAGAGGGAGGGAAAGGGGAGGGGAGGGGGCAGGCAGAGTCTTCTTTGGGTCTGCTCTAGTGGGCTTATGGGGGTGTAGGGCAGGGAGTTGTTTCCTTCTGATGAATTGACCATTACATTTCTAAAGCTGTGAAATGGCCAAGAGACCATGGAAAGACACCACTTTAGGCTCCTGCTTGAAACCAGCAGTTTCAGAAAACTGCTGGCCTTGATTCTGGGTCTTTTTTTTTTTTTCTTTTTTGCAACAGAATTTGCTATGTAGCTCAGGTTGAACTTCAACTCACTTTATAGCACAAGTTGAACTTGAACTCCCTATCACCATATCTCAGCCTACTTCAGTGCTTAGTTGACATGAATGTGCCATGCCTGGACATTTTTGTCATTTTCTATGAAACAGTAGTTCTGTCAACTGCAGTGACACTCTGGGAGGCTGATGCAGAACAATCTCAAATTTAAGCTCAGCCCAATATAGGGAGACTATCTCAAAATTAAAAAAAAAACAAACAAACTACAGATAGCTCAGTGGAAAGGCTCTAAGTTCAATCCCTAGTACAAGAAAGAAAGAAAGAACAAAAAAAATTCATAGCAAATTCACTTAGACAAATTGTCTTAAAGGAAGACCTCCAGGTTCTGTCTCTGCGAAATTTGATCATATCTTGTTTGAGTTTGAGAAATTTTGATAGAGGTGACATATGGCCCATCCATCAGATCAATCTGTGACTATTGAAATTCTGTGGAAAAAAATTGTATGAAAATATCTAAATAAACAAAAACAGGGACCATGGATTTAGCTCAATGGCCTAGGCGCCCACCTGGCAAGTGTGAGGTCATGAGTTCAATCCCCAGTACCAAAGGGAAAAAAAAAAAAAAACTATGATAAAAAATGGCAATTATAGTATATAGCATATTCCATTACGTGAAAACAAACTTCGAAATATTGACTCTTTGAACAGTCAGTTATGCCAGACTAAGCACATAGTAGGCACACATTTTTTTCTTTCTTTCTTTCTTTCTTTCTTTCTTTCTTTCTTTGTTTTTCTTTCTTTTTCTTTTCATTTTGTTTTCTTTTTTTCTGTTGAGACAGGGTCTTGCTATGTAGTGCAGGCTGATCTTGAACTCACTATGTAGCCCAGGTTGAACTTGTGTAATCACTGGGCCTGAGCTTTACAAGTGCTGGGATTACAGGTATGTGCCACCATGCCCAGCTCCAGCTTTGTGCTTTTTTCATTCTTTTTATTTTATTTTTTTTTGAGACAGTGACTCACTATGTAGTTCAGGCTATCTGTGAACTCAGCCCAGGGAGGCCTAGAACTCATAGTGATCTTCTTGACTCAGCCGTGGGGCGCTGGGATTATAGGTTTGGGACTACCCTCTTCTCCTTCTTTCCTTCTACTTCCTTCTGCTTCTAGTTGCCCTATCTTATTTTTCATTCCTGTTGATATTATTGGTCTTAGCTCATGTTATTGCATATAATGTTTACATTAATTGGGATTATTAGGTTCCCGTACATGGTATATCCTTATTCTTATTTCTCTTCCTTGTTCATGCTTTTTAATTCTTTTTGTACCAGAAATTGAACTCACTACCTCATGCTTGCCAGGCAGGTGCTGTGGTACTGAGCTATATCCTTAGCTGTTCATGCTTTCTTAGCACGAAGCTGTCTGTATAACTTTTGTACTCTGTGCTTCATTTTATTCATATCAATGCTGCTGTCTCCCACTTGTCCATCAATGATGAACTGATGAAAACTATGCTATGTTTATTTGGTAGAATACTGGTAACCTTAAAAAGCAAAGAAATTCTGACACATGCTTGAGCCTGGAGGAAACAAAACTTGGGGTGTCATGCAGAATGAAATAAGCTAGTTATAAAAGGACAAATATACTATATGAGGCCATTTACCTGAGGCCCCTAGAGTAGTCAAATTCATAGAGACAGGAAATAGAAAGGAGTAAGACCACACAGTTCTTATTTAATGAATAGAGTTTCAGTTTTGCAAATTGAATAAGTTCTAGAGATGTACCAGTGATAGTTGTACAATAGTAAATGTACTTGAGATTTCAGAGCGTATAGTTTGGTATATTTTACTACAATTTAAAAATTACTGTCTAAAAATATTTTTTCCCTTTTCTTGGTACAGTAGAAGAAATCCATGTGATTTAGTAAATTAGCCAGTTTTAACGTACACAGTAACTTCATAACATATTGAAAGTTTCCTTCCATGACTGATAATTTGGCTTCCTTTAGACTCTAGCTGTTCCAAGTTTTGGAATGTCTAATGATATCAAGGAAGAATGTAGTGAAACCTTTGCCTGAGGACATTCTTGCAAGCTTAATCTAAAGAAGTTCCTGGCATGGTCCTCAGACTCTGCCCTGAAATTTACAGAGGAAGAAACATCAGTGAAAGAAAAAGAAAAAAAAAAAAAAAAAAGGTCTACATATCACAAAGCTTTAGGATCAATGAAAACTCCCACTTCTTGCATTCTAAACCTATTAAAAATCAGATATTATTATCAGAGTTACTCAATATACACTTATCACAGTATTATATTTGGGCTTAATTCCTTGTTTTAGCTAAGAAATCCTCTTGTTTGATAATACCAGAGACTTCACTTTTGAATACTAGATTACTTGAACACATACTGTTAATATACATGTACTAATTCCCTACAGTGAATGTAATAATTATGTACTGCAAACACTTACTAACAAAAGTAAAAAAAAAAAAAAATGTAAACCAATGGATATGTGTGCATATACAGTCACTGGCTATTTACTAAACACCACATAAGTACCAGATAAATTTTAATTAGTGCAGACTACAAAATAGACTCTCTTTCATTTCAATAAAAAATAATAAAGGCCATACATTTAAAGAAATGAGTACAAATTAAAAATTAAGGCATGATTACCTTTTCAGAATAATTTAATTTTAATTAACACAGTTATATTGTGTATGAATGTTCAATTTACACCACATAAAAGCAAGCTGAAATTATATGAAATATTTATTGGCTATTAAGATTTGGCATTTGTCAATTACAATTTATTTTTCCCAATAGAAAACCATATTGCTTTATATTTTTTTTAATTTAAAGTCTTTCTAAACTGTTTTTTCTCTTAAAATATAGACATGGTTAGTGTCCTACATTTTTTAAAGTACTATAGTGTATTACAACTATTTACTTAACCAAAGTGATTATACTGTTAATAACAGCATTAGGGTTTAAAGTCAGTATTAAAATAGCTGTATTATGCAATTAACCAAAATGCAATTATGAGGAATCAAAAGGAGCCAGATGCATGCCATCCAGTCACTTGGGAACCAAACATTAAAACTTCCTCAGATTTATGCATATAAACAAATTATGCAGTTAAGCAGGGCTCACTAAGAACGAACTGCACCCATTTTTACCAGTTGGACCATGTGCTCTTTTTCATTTTATCAGCTCACAGAGATCCCTTAAATCTCTGAAGCTTTACAACACTGTGAAACTCCTGTGAAATTTCAAGAATCCATAGCAAGGCTGGGGATAAGGGTCAGTGGCACGGCGCCTGACAAGTGTGAGGTCCTTAGTTTGATTCCTGGTACAAAAAAAAAAAAAAAAAATAAAGAATCCATAGCAAAGCCAACAACAACAAAAAAGATGTCCTTAGTAATTTTTTTCTAACTCAGTACTTTGAGGGCCAGGGATATAGCTCAGCAGTTTAGTGCCTATCTGGCGAGTGTGAAGTGGTGATTTTGATTCCCAATACCAAAAAAAAAAAAAAAAAAAAAAAAAAAAAAAAAAAAAAAAAAAAAAGGAATGAAGGAAGGAAGGAAAAGAAAGAAAGAAAGAACAAACTTTGTTCCCCTCCCCCACAGAATTTGTTCTACAGTGTGGCCTTTTCAGAAAGCTTGGTGAAGGTGCTTCCTTTTAGTCTTTTTGTTATATCGAATGCTCTGGAAATAAAGATCATGCTCTAACAACACAGCATTCGATGGAAGATGCTTTATTCCCCATTCCTGAGATAACAGCAAATCAAGTTCAAAAATCATGGAAGGCTGAGAAATGATCAAGGAATACACGTCTGGTGGAACACATGCACAGATGCTGTGCTAGAAGAAAAGACAAATGCTGAAGTGCATAATGATTTTGAAAAGATTTCTTTATCAAACATGTCATTTGTTTAAAGGACCTTGTTGTTGGCATTAGATGTGGGATATCAGCTTGTTAGCAAAGTGAAACACGATGGTAGCTAGATACTGGTGACTGATGAGTCAATTGAAATCATTGATGTTGCTACCCTGAGTGTCTTCATTTATTATGTCATTGGTCAAAAATTAAGTAAGCATCATCTGTTTTCAGTTATTACTACAGCCAATAAAATGTTACAGCTAGCTGGGGCATGGTGTACAAATTTGTAATTCCAGCACTTGGGGTCTGAGACTGGACAGTTGTGAGTTCAAGGACAGCTTGGGCTACACAGTAAGACCCTGTCTCAATAAACAAAACAAAGAAGATGTCACATCTCAGGGTGACTGCATACATTTGTAAAGGATAGGGAAATCTTCAAAGACATGATGCCAGCTGGCTAACAAATTCCACATTTTGTTGGTAACTAGGTGCTAAGACATGAGCGCATTTGTTTTTTGTGGTTTTTTTTTTTTTTTTTTTGGTGTAAGTTTTGACTGGATAATGCTAGTGAATCAATTTTTGTAGTGAATAACTTATAAACAATTCCCATGCCCTGAATTAATATCAAGATGTTAAATGTATTTATTTGTGCCACAAATAGCTATCTTTTGTTGACTGGGGGCATTTACAAAGGGAATTATTGGCAACGACTTTTTCATCAGTTTTACCAGCAGAGTTTCTGAGTACCTGATTTTTAAAACAATTGTAAAGGACTTTTTTCTAAAAAAAAAAAAAAAAAAAAAAAAAAATATATATATATATATATATATATATACACACACACACACACACACACACACACATACACATATATATGTATGTATAAAACAAAGAATAATAGGAGAGGAACACCTTTCAGACTCAAAGAGGTGTTTTTCTGCTGATAGTTTTAAGGAAAGACCCTGCTGACTGACAACCCTCTGGAATTGGCAAGATACCACCTGCAGGGCCATCCTGCTATGGCTGGCACTACATCACTACCCAACATAAGAGTCCTCCATCTCAAAACTGGACATTTAATGCAACCTCATTCATACTCGGTAAC